GAGATATATACATTGTGTGTGTGTGTACTTATCTAATTTGGGTTGCAGGGGTCGAGACATAGCTCCTGGCCTTTGTGTGTGTCAGTGTATATGCACTTTGTATTTTAAACCTCCTTTTTAAGGGGTTGTAGTATGGTTGATGTTAGTGTACAGGAGCGTTGATGCTATACTGACCCTCGTTGATGCTATACTGACCCTCGTTGATGCTATACTGACCCTCGTTGATGCTATACTGACCCTCGTTGATGCTATACTGACCCTCGTTGATGCTATACTGACCCTCGTTGATGCTATACTGACCCTCGTTGATGCTATACTGACCCTCGTTGATGCTATACTGACCCTCGTTGATGCTATACTGACCCTCGTTGATGCTATACTGACCCTCGTTGATGCTATACTGACCCTCGTTGATGCTATACTGACCCTCGTTGATGCTATACTGACCCTCGTTGATGCTATACTGACCCTCGCTGATGCTATACTGACCCTCGTTGATGCTATACTGACCCTCGTTGATGCTATACTGACCCTCGTTGATGCTATACTGACCCTCGTTGATGCTATACTGACCCTCGTTGATGCTATACTGACCCCTCGTTGATGCTATACTGACCCTCGTTGATGCTATACTGACCCTCGTTGATGCTATACTGACCCTCGTTGATGCTATACTGACCCTCTCTGATGCTATACTGACCCTCGTTGATGCTATACTGACCCTCGTTGATGCTATACTGACCCTCGTTGATGCTATACTGACCCTCGTTGATGCTATACTGACCCTCGTTGATGCTATACTGACCCTCGCTGATGCTATACTGACCCTCGTTGATGCTATACTGACCCTCGTTGATGCTATACTGACCCTCGTTGATGCTATACTGACCCTCGTTGATGCTATACTGACCCTCGTTGATGCTATACTGACCCTCGTTGATGCTATACTGACCCTCGTTGATGCTATACTGACCCTCGTTGATGCTATACTGACCCTCGTTGATGCTATACTGACCCTCGTTGATGCTATACTGACCCTCGTTGATGCTATACTGACCCTCGTTGATGCTATACTGACCCTCGCTGATGCTATACTGACCCTCGTTGATGCTATACTGA